CGTGATGGCCGCACCCGCTGCCGGCCGATGCAAGCTGCCGCCTCCACCGCACCAGCGATACTGGCCGCGGCTCGCCGCCACGCGCCGGCTCGGAAGAGGGGCTATCGGCGGCGCAGCAGAGCGGCATGCGTCGTCATTCGAGCAGCACCAGGTCCCCTCTTCGACGTGACGGCCGCTCCCGGAGCCGGCCGGTGCGCGCCCGACCCACGCCCCCTCTCGCACCCCCCCGATCCCCCTGCGCGGCGCCCCCTCCACTGCGCGCCGGCTCGAGCGCCTATTGCCAAATCGCGACTTTCGAGCGCAGTGCGTGCGCCCCACACGTCACGCGAGCGCAGGAAAATTGCGGCAGAGCAGTACCGTGTACTAGCCGGAGGCATCGCGCCGAAAACCCCGCGCATTCCGCCCCAACAGAGGCTGCAGGAGGCAGATGGCCAATAGCTGTCGTTTAGCGACCATCGTTACGAAATGTAGCGTCACCGGGAGGTCTCCAAGCTGTCTTGGGTGGTAATGGAGCTGCACAAAAAAGGGTCGACGGTCGAGAGGTATATAAAAGCATGATGGGGCGCTTTCCCCGTTAAATCAACGGCACCCCCTGCTGAATGCGGGGGCGCCCTCGATTTAACGGGGCCAGCGCTCCATCCTGCTTGTATATACCTCGCTCCCGTAGGCCCGTCGCTCCGTAGCCCAGTAGCGCGCCCCCGCCACCGTCAGTTTTCGCGCCCTCCTCGGGCAGGGCACCCATGGAGCGGCATCAGACGGATTGGCATAATTTTCAACAGGGCGGTAAATTTGCTGTTACGGATGATAACCTTGACAAATTTGTAGAAGAAGATGGTTCTGGCGGTCCTAGATATTGTTTGATTGCCTTTTCTTTGTAGTCAACAAGTGGCGGGCCTTGGGCGTGTTCAGGACGCGGTGCGACAGTTTCCACTCGGTGAACGAGCGCGCCTGCGTGTGCATCTGTACGAGAGCTCTTACCGTAGGCTCGCCTGTATGCTTGTAGTCGCGCGTGTCCGTCGTTGGTCGATTTACCGATTTTGTAGCGGTGGCGGTCGCTTTTGAGTTTGTTGCTTATACAGTATACGATGGTTTTATTTTTCACGTCGTACTTTTCTAGAAATTCGTCTATGTCCATGCCTGCGGCGCTGCTAAAAATTACGGGCATTGTAGTTCGGGCCCACCTCCGCCACGCTGTCCAGCAGCTGGGCGGCGCTCGCCATCTCGACCGCGTCGTCCTCCGGCGGAAGCTCCGCGTTGCCCGCGGCCGCCTCCCGAGCGCGCTCGTCGCGCATCCGCTCGTGGTGGGCCTGCCGACGCGCCACGCCGGCGCCCGTGTGCCTCGCCGCCGCGTCCGCGGCGACGGCATCGATGCTGTCTGCCCGAGCGTGACTCGCAACTCCACGATTTGCGGTCCACCGACAAATTTGGCTGCCCCCATCAAAGTTGACTTCCTTCCTTAGATACATACATACCTAACCGTGAGTTGTCTGTTACACCCCCTATTACAAACCTGCCAACGTAGACTGTAGACGCCCCATTGCCGCATGCCGGGGAATGTGAATGAGAACTCCAGAGGGCAGAGAAGTCCGATGTGAACGATGTGTGAACACGACCCTGCCAAGCGCGCCCACACCACAAGCCACACAAACGACAAAGGG